GCTATGACCGGCGAACAATATGGCAAGATAATACAGGTGATATTAAGGTCTAATAGATTTGAAGGGAAGTCGTAAGGTGGCAAACTCGACTGACATATGGTCAATATATAGATCAAAATTGAGCGAAATACCATATCAATAATGCTGTTTGATTTCACTGCGCCTACTTCTGTACAGCGTAAATATATCATATAATTGTCGTATTAATAAAAACTTCCTCGATAATGACTCGAACTACAACAGAACCGTTAGAGAATATACCTATATATCTAATTATACTGCAACTTATTACAATAGTCATATATATGTCACTGTTTTACTTTACAGAGTTACAAAGCGATGGCCTCGTAACCTGAGATTCGAGTGCACACCTTTTCGCCAAATGTGTTCTTTGCGTCATTCCTTGTTGTGTTAGGTAGTATCCACATAAATCGTTCCGTCTGACAAATTTCTTTTAGTACCGCAAGATGTTAGGGCAGGATCATTTGCCTGGCCGTCCTTATCGCCCCTGTTCTTTATTTGCTTTAAGCTGAATCACCCTCAAAGCCTAGGTGTATTAATATCACTCAATTACTTTCCTTTCAGCCACAATGGTAATAGAATGTTAAAGTTTGCCAAATCAACTTGGCTAAATTAAACTACGGTACCCATAGCTAATAGCAGCAAGGACATCATTTACTATCCGTCTCCTGCCTCCTGATCGGCGTTATGCCTATGTAGTAATCTACGTCAACACTGCCTTTCTTTGTGTAGCGCCATGTACTTACGGTAACAGCGTCTGCTGATATACGTAGGTGCGATGACTAGCTACCTTCTTTTTGATCTACAAAATACTGAATCGCCCTTAAGTCTTTAAACATAATGCATACGTATGTAACCATGTACGGGCTTGCACGTTTGGGGTTCTTCGATATCTCGATTGGATCCTGCTTTCCACTTCCTGCAGTGCCACTTTCGGACATAAAGTCGACGGCCAAGTCCCTCCCCATTGCTTTGCTGTGCTAGCTAGTCACTTGGTATATAAGAGCAATTCGTCGGATAAGTTAGCTGGTAGCTATAGAAAGTTAACAGGAAGTTGTTTGTTCATTGCGTGCAAGCTAGATAATCGAATAACCGAGTAAGAAGTTAAGAGGGTAGGTAAGTAAGTGGTAAGTAAGGTAGAACTGAAGTTGGTAGAACGTTTGTTGCCTGATGGGTTGCCACTTATTGTTGTCAACTAGCTTCCACGCGGTAGCAGCGTTAGCCGCTGGCGCGTGGCGCTTTTGGTGCCGTTTGTCGTTGAGTAGGGAGTTAGGGGAAACAGGAGTGGCTATCTAGGCCAACCTGACTGTTCGCTTTGCAGCTGCTTCCGCTTCTGTGTCCGCTGTGGCGTCCGTTATTGACGGTGGCAGTTTGGAGATTATTTCAGGACAAGACCGGCTAGTTCGGAAATCATGGTGTTTGTACTGAATGAACTCTAAGTATCAACGGCAGCAGCATCCGCGGGGAAGGGGATCCGCTGAAGATAACATCAATATCAGCAGCAAACGCAACTTTTCAGAATTTATGTGGATGACTATTCTCACGCGGTTCGTTTTTACCTTCATATTTGGCTCGCCAATCGTCGTCGCCACTACTTTTGCTACTGCAACTATGGTTTAGTGGACAGTATGCCAAGCAACGAAGAGCTAACCGCATTGACATAATGATAAATCCACTCCCCTACAGATGGTCACACGTGTCGGTAGCGAACGCAAAGCCACATATGCCATAGCTGAACGCAACTAAGATAAACCGCTCAGCGCCAGGCACTGATCGATCGAAGGGACTCATCGAAGCTATCAACAAACGTAATGAGTGTTACACGTTAGGTTCGCGGCTTGATACCCTATCTCACTTAAGCTGCGTTTAGAATGCTCAAAGGTACTATCTAAAATAGTCGTATCTGCATGAACGGGAAACAAAAGCTTAATTATTTCGTCAACCAATCAGTCTGGAACTCAATCTTGCTCTGTTATCAGTTTTTCATTGATGGTAAACCAGATGTTTCAAGTAACGCACGGCTTTTGGCTGGTGGAGAACATCGGTTATTTTACTCGCAGACGAAATGTTGCATTTATAGAAACGGTACCAGATATAGCAGTCAAAGTACAATGCTTTACCTATTATAAATACGTTTACATGTACCCGACTAGAGTAGAACCGAAGATCTCCTAGTTGCGCGTCCCCGGCACTAGCTGCCTATTTTTTTCATGATCAATGTAATTAACAATAAAGCGTTATGATCTTACTTTCCTACTTACCCTTTGCCTTAGATATCTGGTTCAGGTGTAAATATTGTAAGTTTAATTCATTAAAAAACAAAATAAATTCAATGTTTTTGTTCGAGCAAACGACTTTCAAAAGCGTATTTTTGGACGTCTCTGTCGTTCGACTCCTTCATTGCCCGTGCAATTACCATGCGTTTCTGTTCTGTATGTTCGATTGAACAAAATGCTTTAAAAATCTCCAATTGCCAACGGAAGAGGGGCCAATAATGCAGTGGCTGCTGGACGAGCACGGCAGTGTGCGCCGTAGACGCTATCACTAATCGCTACTTAACCCAGAAGCGCTGAGAGTTCGGAACTCGTTGAGTCGACGTTTCTTACTCTCGAGGCCGGTTCACGCAAGCCGACACGAGCAGCAAGCAGCAATCAATGGTAAGTGTAGGACCTAAGATTGCTAATACCACCGCTGCCACCGGTAACGAAGTCAGTGGATGTTGAAGCTACACTTATCTCTGGTTCTTAGTATCTGTACGTTTTTCGGACTTCAAAAAGCTGCCCTGAATAAATAGGATGACATCTCAGCTTTTGCACTATTCTGCATTTGTCAAAAAAGAATTCGCTGTTGATTTGTACTTTTGTTCTTTGGATGTTTTCTCCTGATACGCTAATGCAGTCCTTTTTCTAGTTTACCAGTGCACGTTGCTACATGTTACAGCTATAGCCGGACAGATTAATCAATAACTTCATCTGAGCTGCACAACTGACGTACATAGTATTCCAAAGGAGTTTCGCACGATAGTCGCAAGCAGTTGATGTCACACTGAATGTTAGCTTTCGACAAGTGTTCCGACCCAATAAAGCTGGGTAGAATTCTCTAGCATTTGTAACGCTCACAACCCTCATTTTTCTAGAAAGCTGTTTTTATGACTGCTAATGGCTTTTGAGCTTTTATGGACGTGCGTTCTCGCCATCTGTAAAGATCGAGGCTGATGGCTCAAGCTCTGTCGTATGACATGTATAGTTTGAGCCCGCGTCGAGTTTAGCTTGTGGAGATAACCCAGGAAGTCTCGCTAGACGTCTCAGGTAGCACCGGTAAGGCTCGATACAAAATTAAACGTAAACAAGGTCTTATATATATATATTAGTACCGAAGGGACGCGACAGATTTCCTCGATGAGCTGGGATCGAGCAACAGGGAGCAATGATGTTATAGCCTGCTTACCTAATACACGTTTTACGTTCGAATGAAATAAGCGGCGAGCATCCTGGTTCTAACAGTATTTATCCAACAATGATACTTCGACAATATAGTCATGCTGCTGTAGGTTCCTCTCGGAAACGTCAATGACGTCAACCTGTACCCAATAGATATCACGGTATATCTATAAATTGTCTAATCTCTATTCTATTGAACGCTCTCGCTCTTATACACATATAACCACACAAGCGTACGCCGTAAAAACAGAATTTACACAAGTATTACAGTCAACGGACCACAATTTTGCTGATGCCGTTCGCCTCTTGGCATATTTAATTGCTTAGAACAGAAACAGTGAAACTAGCTGGCTGACATCGAACTCGCTTGAACATATATCACCATAGTGGTGGTGGTGGTGGTGGTAAAACGAACGATCACAGTGTAGACGTGATAGTAGCTTGTTGATTTGAGTTTAGCTACCCTTCGTCCTCTTCTTTGCCCACCTGTAAAATTTACGTTTGTAATCTTTACGATTCTGTCTCCTACTATGTTGAGTGTTCAACTCATTTCTATTGCCGTAGACATTTTATAATTTTCAATTCTATATTTTAGCAGATTGACTAAAATTTTAGGTCCTGAAAAGCGAGCCTTACCTGCCTGTGTATAGCCGTATGTATCGGATGTGTATCTTTATTAAGTTATACTTATGTTGAACATCTGCCAGACACCCATGTGTGGTTGTGACTGTCCAATCGTAAGTTGGCAAATGATATCAAGATCTTTCGTAATGTTTGCCCACGTTGGCACTCTAGTTTAATTTGGGTAAACGACATTGCGATGGATCATTCAGCCTATATACTATTGATACGATCCAATGACGCAAATGCGCGTACAAAATATATTATCGGCCGTGACACTTCGACTCCATGTTGACTCCAAGGTGTATTGCCGTTACATTGCGTCATGGTCTATACGGGACAGGCGCGATTGGGCGTTATATAATCTTAAGGACATACATGCTCTCACTTTTGAACCGTGGATGAATGGACTAAAACGTATTTTTTTAATGCAACAAATCGGTTACCTATAACAGTGGACGCGTGGGGCTGTACTGATATAAGAATGTCGTATCCAGAGAATACATGCAATATATATAGGTATTTGTGTTTTGCACAAAAATTGCACCCTTCAATTCAATGGCAGAGCGGGCATGAGAAAAAAAAGAAACGACAGTTGGCCCGTATAAATATTTCGAGGAGTTGCTTAAAAACAAAGTTCTGCTTTCATCGACAACATCGCCTTCTACATTTATAAGCGCTAAATCGTGCAGTACGATAGCAGAAATAGCGACCGACGGGACGTTGATACTACTGATATAACAACGGGTCCATTCCGAGTAAAAAAGTAATGAATGATACGCCATTGACGTAATTTAGTAGTCTATTTGGTTCGTGCGTTCGTCGGTGTTTGCTCGAGCCGCTGTTGGTGTTCCCGGTACAACGTTATTCAGTACGTGGTAGCGTGTTATTACTATTAAACTTTTTTCATTTTTCCAGGGTCATTTCACGAGTGAGGCACTCCGGCTGCGGCAGAACAGTCAGCTGGTCATTAATGGACGGCGGCAACGGAAGTCTACTGGTGGCAATTAGTCGAAGTCTTCGACTCGGATCGTGAAGCTGTTTCTCAAGCCGCCAGCGCGTCAACCGGCCCGATTTGCGCGATTGCTGGGCGCTGAACATAGCATCACCACGAGTAAAGTCAATTGAAGGTTACTTTAGTTCGATACGAGCTATTGGCTGGTAACGAGGGGCCTGCTAGGTTTTCAGATACATAAAACTAAAACTGGGTTATCGAGAAAGCAATCGGGGTTTTTCAGGACCGTCAAGAAAAAGAGTAAGAATTATTGAGGCAAATAAAGGAAAAGCAACGTAGTTTTATCCAGTAAAACGAAAACCATGACTGCAGAGTACCACGTTTGGAGCTAGAGTGGCACCACTGTGTAGCACACGTACGTGGTGCAACTACAGTGGCTAGATCTACTCCGGTGATAGTTTTCTTGCTCATACGAAGTCGGCACATAGTATAAATTGCGTATATGTGATGTTTTACGCTTGAGGTCAGAACCTGTAGTAAAGGACTCATATGAAAAATAGTTCTAACGGCAAGATCTGGATCTGGTCATCCATGGGCTGGGCAACAAGCCTTGAAAAATCGAAGTTCAGTTATTATTTCAAGTTCATTTCTAAATAGCTGATATGCTGTATATTACACCTAGATAATGTATACCAACTCCGGACTTCTCTAAACAGAAATGACGCATTTGATTCTTGAAGTATATTTTGCCCTCGTTTGCCCCACTTGGCTAAACCTTTTTCAGAAGATGTCACCTAAGATCGACCAATGGCCAAACCAGTGATTTCCTCTGGATTTTTCTCATATATGTTCTTTTCCTTGTTGTCCTTCCTCATTGAGGTTAAATTTCCTTTCCTTCCACTGAAATCATTTCTTCCTCTGATGCAATAACAGTAGCTTTAAACTGAATAAGCTAACAAAAATCGATGCCGTGTTCACCTGATTGTTTCTCAAGAAAATACATATGGTTTGTTGAGAAAGTATTGACTGTGAAGCCAACATTGAAGCAAACATTTTTCATATATGAAAATAACAATAATCACTAATAAAAATGATTAATGATCCGCTGCCATTTCTTCGACATTACCTTAATGCTATCATTGTAATTCTGTAGTTTCTAAACGGAAGTGATTTTTGCATCCTTCCGTTGAAATTAACAGAATTAGGGGAGCTTTGCAAGGACCAAAACAGACGACAGTATGATGGCGCAGGATCTGGGCTATACGGGATGAAAATTCCCCATGCAAGTTCTCTTAAGTTTTGCCAGCTAGCGTCATTGGGACGCTGGAAGACGACATCACCGGTTCTGCAGACCAGTTCCGGTCAATTTTTTATCAGTGACTTGTTGCAGTCTTATTGGTTATTGATATGCCCTGGATCATAGTTTTGATTAGAGAACAACAACCCATATGCACGATTCCTCTTCGACCCCACCAAACACATCATATTACCTCCTTTGGCGCCAGTCTCAGCTTTGCTACAGAATGTCGGGTGTATTTGTTATGTTTTTTTTATTTGCGCATTATTATTACATGTAATCCACCTCTGATGCCCCACAATAATAGACCGTTCGAGGAATGAATGGCTTGACTTCGTTACATTTCTATAGGGTTCCATAAATGAAAGTACGATCATGTTCGAAATGAATTCGCTTTCTTCAAATAAATTCAAAGTGTCAGAGCGCGGATATTTAGCCCCTTGGCACTATCATAGTGATTTACGTGTCGGTATTGCTCGATATTCCCAATACTTCATAAGCTCAATTTGTAACTGGCTAACCACTAGGAGAAGCGTCTCTTTCGTTGAAATTCTCAGAACAGAACTATTGTTTGTATCGTTTCTTTTCAATAACGCACCTTGACCATGGGCAGGACAAATCTTTTTATGGACTCAGGCGGCATATGCGCCTTTACCGTAATGAAATCTTAAAATAAAATGCATTTTTACGGAAATTTCACTTATCTTTGAGACGCTATACCTTAGATTCGGAAAGAGGCATTCCAACAATTTTAGCACACCTACTACTGCCAGATGTGGGCTTTCCGGCGAGACCCATATTACCAGAGATAGCGAGCCATTCACCTAAAAAAACGGTCAACGCGTTTTTGACAACCCTATATATATATATCTATCTATCGACACCGAACAGTTATTTTCTCACATCACATACGCGTCTCGTTCGTCGTGAAGTAAAGGAAGGTATTTACATGTATAGATATAAATCTGTGTGTGATCATCTAATGACTATTTTACTCCAATATAAACACGCTTCACCGACGGCTATGCATAACGCCCTCTATCGACAATGGAGCAAACAGAAAGAGCTTCATTACAAGTTGCTTGCTTGTGGTTAGTCCTCGTCAGGACGGGCATTGCCTCTGTCGGTTCTCCTGCCCGCTGTTAATACTAATCATTTAGTACTCAGTTGATCTTGATTTTAGTACCTTGTTCTATGAAAATTCGCATAATCGGTCAAAACGTAGCCAGTTGTGACGAATGCTTGTTCACTGGCATTGTGGTCTCTGTCACGACGAGCGCGTTCCCTATTATAAGGTGTACCTCTCCGAAACAATGAACACCCAAAAAGAATACTTTTTATAGGTAATATTGTTTTATTAAGAGTAGTAGTTTTGTTTACCGCTTCTTTTCTTTCTAATGTTAGGCTGTTACGCATCTTTCTCTTTGCTGCAGTCTGACCATTGTCACCGTCTAGCCGGTCCATGAAATTCTACCTCGAATTGAATTCAAACATTAAAGCCGATAGGCTGCCCGTCTTTACCCTTTACCTAGGTCCAAAATTTAGTGAAACAATCCGAAGTTTGGCATATAGGATATAGTTGAGCTTACTGTTTAGGGGCCGTTTGATCAGTTAAAAAATGGCATCTTCAATTTGGAGAACGTACTGGCTCGACTTGTGGTGTCCAGAGACGATCATCATCCTGAGCCAGCTTCGAGAGTAATACAGAGTATGAAGTAGAGTTGTCGCGGTAGACGATATACATTTGTTCGGCTGCTTTGGCAGCTGCACTTCTGTAGCCTGAAACCTCGGAAGCGCCGCGAATTCGTTCGTACTTCAATCTACACATCTACTACTTTGAAGTCGGAACTCCAGAAAAAATTACGCGATTTAGTCAACGAACGAGCTCCTCAACGACACAACGCTCGACTGCAACGGACGATTATACAAAACGAAATTCGAAAAAAGACGCCACGAACAAAAGCGGCCATTAGCAGTTCAACACATTGTACAGGACCATATATACGTGTATATATATTTTCTTGTGACTATTGAGAAATAATAAAACTTTTAAGTGGCCCTATCTACGTACAGTGCCGCCGTCTGTCTTCACAACCTATTTGGCCGGCTTTATATAAACATCGACTCTGTTAGTCAGTCAGTCAGTCAGTCAGTCTGTCTGTCGCCAGACCGAGCAGGGGAGCCCGAGGCGAATCGCTGAAAAGCGCACAAAACAGCAATATCAGCAGTGATTGGCTTGACCTGTATGAATAAAAAAAAATTAAAAAAGGAAATTAAGGCCTCTCACACTACTACTACTACTACTACTGCTGTTGCTACGACAGCGATCGTAACCAAGACAACATCCGAGCGCCACCCGAACAAGCGTTCGCGGGAGCGACCCAACGTAGTCGACCATCCTCCACTGGCTGCTGATGACCAACCGGCTATATGCGCATAGGTGATACGAAACAAAGCGATTGTCGATTATGCTTTTCTCTTCATTTGCTCGTCGTTTTTGATCTTTCTGTCTCCCTTTGGGTTGCTCGCTCGTCCTTTTTGCTTCCACTGTTCCCCCGCAGGCGTAGTTATGAAAGTACCTCAACCGCCGCCATTGAGCGTCTGTTCATATATTTGCGTCCATATTTCTATGCATGTTTGTGTGTCTGCGTGTGTCTCTGCCCGGAACGAGCTACACAGTCGGTGAGTCAGGCTGATCACACTGGCGACAACAGACGCGAACAGCTCTAATACTTCAAGCAGCAGTAGCGGTGGAGCAATTTATTTCAAGGCTTACAAAGCACCGACGGAAGCGGCGGCGGCGGCGGCGGCGGCGGCAGCAACAACAGCGCCGTCGCCATCACTGCTAGCAACAAGAACAGGCATATACGTTGGCACTAATGATGCCATCATGGCCACCAGCATGGGCGGCAGTAGCGGCAGCGCCGTACCAGAGCAAGCCGATCCAGAGGCAGGGAGAGAATCAAGACACTGCCCGATTGCTCTACCATATGTATAGGGTGTAGAGTAGCAGTGCCCAGAAGTATATGAGATACTACTTATTTATTGGGGTTGACTAGCTCGCCGGCAGACTGCGCAGACAAAATAATAGCCATTGCTTATATACAATAAGATGACAGCGCACGATACAGTAAGGTAAAAAGTGAGAGAGAGACTTCCAGCAAGCGAAAATGATCGTATAACAACGTTTATCTAATTTAATAACCGGAAGTTTATTTTTGTGAATATATATATATTGTGACTATTTTCAGTCGTTGTTCTAGAGTGGGTTTCATGTTCACGTCTGATAGAATTGTTAGAGTCGTCTCAAAGTGAACTTACCTGCCAGAAACGCTGAGGACGGCTGTTGTGCATTTGGTAAAATATCTGGGTCAGCTACAGTTCTCTTTTGTAGTAATGATATGGTCGAGCTAATGACTAAACGTGTTTACATTTTTTAATACTGGAAGACATTTATCCTGTTTATGTGTCTATTGTATTTCCTTTACAATCCATCGCACACCTTTCGACGGATTACCTTCGTCACATGCGGTAGGCGGGCCGTACACCGGTCTCTGCTTCCAATCAATTTTTTCGGCTAGAATTTTAGCAGTTCCTAGCTTCGCCATCACCGATGCGCCAGGCAGTACAAGCCGATACAGGTTCCTCCATCATTTTGGGGTAAATGACATATTAAATTAGATCCTACTCCCATTATATGTATATGTATAAGATAACCTTATGTAGACACCATCAGTTATTTATCCTTATACCATCATATTAGAGCGCGGTCGTAGATAAGCCTTGTGCTTGTTTTACAATAACTAATCAAAAATAATGGTCTCAGATGAATCTATATTCAATTCGGGTTATACTTGCAGGACCTGAACCTACAGAATATGTCTCTAAAGAGATTTGTTCCGGCTGTATTTTTTGCAATATACTACTTCAAGGCGTTTATAAGGCCCTAGCCCATTAGATGCAACAGTTAGATGTACTGACACACAGTTTTAGATATTTTTGTTTATCTATCGTCGGATTGCGCGTGCCGAACTACACTGGTTTTGTACAAAACGATCATCTGCCTTTCTGTCTCTATATTGCCTAATCTGGGTTATTTTCTTCACCGCTGACCTTACGGCCCAGCTGTGTCATCACAATACAGTTAAGGTAGAAAACGCTAGTCTGTTAAGCCTAAGGTTGTTACCTACCTTTAGCAGGTTGGGTACGCGCATCGCTTTGCAAGGGTGTTACCTCTTTCAAGATATTTTCGTTCAAAGTTCTATTTATCCTCTATCATTCCAAGCCGGTCACAAGCTCCCTTAGGCCTTTTTATACATAATTCCTACCTTTATCTCTATTGGAGTTCCTCGTAAAATGACGCGTAATTGAGTGATTAACGTCATAGCGATGGGTTCCTGCAATATAATGCCCGTAGTGAAATCTCTTTTTATGGAAAGAAGCTCTTTCGATATATTTAGACACGCCTGACACGTGCATATCAATTTAATATGTACTGTAATTTCTACAGCCCCAAAAAAGTCCGATGTAGCTAATGTGCGGTTTTTCGTCTTGAATGCCTAGATGAAACTTACCAAAGTTCATGAAGTAAAAGTTTATTTTACTTAACAGCAGTTTAACGGCATTTTGTTTCGCGAATTAGGTCAAGATGGCTTGACAATCGTTTCGCTAGGTAATCCATTGATGAACCTTGATAACAGTCGTAAGTCACAAACGAATCGGTATCTAATCTCTAGAAGCTGATACCTAGCCAGTCAAAAGCTGACTGGAGTAACTATGCTTAATCAATTCGCTCTCCGGCTGATTTTAATCTTGTTCTATGAAGATCACTTC